TTAATTTATTTTCTTTTATATATATTTAATATTTTTAATTTTCAGATAGTACAAGAAACTCTTGAACAAGCTCAAACAGAAGATCCTAGTCGAACATCAATTATTATTGCACATCGTCTTTCAACAATACGTTCATGTGATTTAATCCATGTACTTGAAATGGGTCGTATAGTAGAAAGTGGTACTCATACAGAACTAATAGAAAAACACGGAGTTTATTATAGAATGTTAAATACTCAAAACAACGTACAATAATTATTATTCAACTACTTCATTAACAAACAAACAAAATACTTTTACATTTATAGTTATACAAGGGTGTGGGTGTGGGTGTGGATATAAATCTAAAATAATATCCACACCCACACCTTCGAGATGGTTTTTTTATTACATCCAACGACTCTGCTCAAGATGTGCATTTGTTTTATAGCGTGTGGCTAATTAAATGAGAAAAACTCACCTACTCTCACATCATCATTGTCCCTGCTCCCATCCTCAAAATCTTCTATATATTCTGATGTATTTTTAATTTTTTTTCAAATCGTGTTATTGAGAAAGCTTAAGTTTAGATAAACATTAGTGTAATTCACCTTTACTGTAGGAAACGCAATGAGATTAATTTGATTTTATTGAAATTAGTGGATCTACTTGAATAAGCTTACTAATATTATAGAATATATCTTATCGATATTGAAAGAAAAACTATATTTCAGAAAATTCAGGCATCATCCTTAATTGATGTGTTGTATGAAATGCTCCACCTATCTTCATCCTCAGTTAGGTACTTATTCTTTCTTTGATTCTTCCATTTCGTGACAAAACATATAGATCTATTTATAAGAAAACGGTTAATGTAGCCATGCATATCAAAGCTTTTAACTTATTTTGTTATAAAAAAAGTGTTAACAGATTGTATTCTGTTATTAACAAACAGTTTTTCCTATTTCATTCATATAAATATACAAAACTGTAAAAGATTCAACGATATTATATCATTAAAATTATGTTTGAAAATAAGGAAAAATTGAATATAAAAGTGGTATAAAGAATATTGTTTACAGTTTTAACAAAGATTACATTTTATGTGTTCAAGGTCTCCACATATAACACTAGTTATCGTCACAAATAATAAAAACTTGTTTATTCATATTTCTAATTTTTATTGTGATAACAAATGCTGCTAATTGAAAGATTACTAAAATTGTCGAATTATAATAATCTATCAATTAGCGTATTTATTATTTCATTAAACCATAGAAATATGAAGATAGAATTTTCTCTTTTTCTTTCTTATTATTATTCATGACAACGACAGGTGTTATCTGTTGAAAGCTTGAATAAACAAATGTAGTTGTGATTAAAATCTTACAGTCTACTCCGTAGCAGTTTTATATTTCATTTCTGATTATTTATATTTTTATTGCTCTTGGATCTAATTATCTATGTTTCAGAAGAAAATGAATATCACAAAATGATGTATATATCAATGCAAAAACTACTTTTCATGTTTTTTATACTCTAGACAATCATACAAGAAAAACTTGATAAAAAATCTTAAATATATTTTTTTGTGAAAAGATTGTTACTAGCATATGCACAGTCTGCAGTAGTCTTTTGGATTGTGTCCTGTCATATTATTGATCTTAAAGATGAAAACTATTTCAGACAACACTTTTTACTTTTATAATAAAAAATAGTTTAGCTTTCTTAATAGTAACACGATATTGTATAGTATCTTTGTGAATTGATATCAAGTAAACAGAAGAATATTAAATATTTCATTATACCTCTTCTAATAAAAAAGTAAACAGAACTATATAGATATATAAGACTGGAAATAGTAGATTTACTTAATTATGTTCTAAATTCAGTTCTCGACAAACGATGATCTTCATTATTCTATTTATAATCCTTTTAAATTCTTTGTTCCATTTACTTAAAAACTGATAGAATTCACACAAGCACTACACATTTATAGTATGTTCATTAGATGTATCTAAGTTTTTGTTATTTAATAGGATTTAACATATTTACATTATTTCATAGGTGATCGAAAGTTTGATATGTTGAGGTAATATTTTTGGTGATGCACAACACTTATTTTGTGATAAGTTCTGTGTTAACTATAAGTGACTTTTTTCTGAAGAACTTTAATTTACCAACATAGCAGTAGATAAAAGGAGGTGAAAAAATAAATAAATAACAGCATTATATATCTTATTTGTATAGAAATAAGACAAGTATATAATATTATAACACATATATCTAAACAGAATCTACATTCTTTTTAGCTCTAGATCTCGTGCAATATAAACTATTGTCCAGATCGCTATGATTTAAAAAGTTTGTTTGAATGTCATATTAATCTTCATTTCTCGAGTGAAAGAAAAATATATTTCGTCATTTCGAACTAGAAACTAGTTTTTCTGTTTAATGTAGACTACTATTTTTTGGTTGATGTCATAATTTTAATTAGTACTCTAGACAGTACTAATGGATTTATAAAGTATTTATATTCATAGTTTTCTTGTTTATACACTTAGTTCGATGAATCGAAATTGATCGATTACCTTTAGTTTATACTAGAAGTAGAAAAATAATTGTTACTTGTTATTAACAAACATGAAGTCAGTTTTTCAAAATAGCATAATAATTCTTTTTTGCATGTCTCTCTTTATGCTCTGTTAGACATATTTTTGATATTTTCTCATATAAATATATGTGTATTAATATTATGTTTTAACAGATCTTTTTATTCATCAAGATGGGAAATGCAATTTACATTGCAACTCTTCTTCAAGATATTCTAATGTCAGCTAATTTCATTCTTGCTTTCATATATTCACTTTTAATTATATTTATTCCTCGTTTTCATCACCCAAATAATATGTTCATATTGAACATATGCATAGCTACAATAGGTTCTTCTGTGTATTTCATCGTATATTTTACAATGTTTTATTTTAATTTACCACTTCTCTATGCATCAAAGACGTGTATTATTCTGCTTTATGCATATAACATTGCCGCCATTCAAGTTCCATTTGCTTTTGTTACATTTTCCATTCATCGATTTTGTTCAATTGTATTTCACTCAACACCCTTTTTCAAGACAAAACGATGGGTAATCATATGTATTACAAGTCATTGGCTTGTTGTCTATCTTATATCATTACCATTCATCCTTCGAAATGGTCCAGTAAGTAGCATTTATTATCAGATTATGTTACAAAAACATGACATATTAAGACTAAATCGTTTCGACTTATATTGAATGTAGATGCGATATCCATCTCTATGATCATAATCATTAGTTGTTAAGGTGACGATAATAATCATTTGTTTATCAACGTTCTTTTTTTTGTCGATATTTAAAAAGATTAAAACTAGGTGAGTTCAGGCAAGAGTTGCTAATGCTATAAATGTATTGTAGTGAATTAGATAGCATAATTATTTTAATTGAATATATTCTTTCAACTAGAAATAGTTGAGTAACTATCTATGTAGGTACAATTAGTATTTGCTATGAATTGTTTTGAGAGAATAAAATAGTACAACTAATGAAGGTTGATTTATGTATATTTGTTTTGTATTTACAGTATTGTATAAATACATTATGGATGCTAAGTTATACATGTGTTTTGGTTGTACTTGTGTCATCCTTGATCAATACTGCTCTCAATATGGGTATATTTCTTTATGTTCGATCATCTACTCGTCGTATTCAACCACAGACTATGACTGTATTTACAACTGGTAGTATCAATCGGCAACCAACAATTAGTCGTCGAGATATTGCATTGATGAAACAGATGATTTACATGTTTACAATGTTTATTGGAGGATGGACTCCTATTTATTTGATTTTGATTATCAGGTTCTTAATTAATATGAATTTACTTATCTTTTATATCTTTGTTGTGTGGGGTGAATTAATTCTGTTGGGAATTAACATAAATTTATTCAAGTGCAATCATGATCTGAGAAACTATTTATTAAATCAATTTCGGCATCATATTTTGCGATTATAAAAATAACAGACTAACAAAAGTTTTTCGTATGAATATATGTATAATCTTATTCTAAATAAATATTTGTAGTTGTGTACTAACATCAAGAAATGCTTTTTTTGTGGATATTTCATAAAGATTCATTTGTTTCTATATTTTCAACTGGCTATAAAAAAAAAAGTGATTTGAGAATTCGAAGAAATTTCTTTCCAGCTATTTTAGTTCTTATTTATAATCTTCATAGTGCTTTTCGATACTATTTTAATAAATAGTTTTATTAATAAATAACATTAGTGGATATAAACAATCAATGGTTACTACATGTTTATTAATAGACAATCGCACAGTATTGATATAATAACTAATAAAGAATATTTTAGCTGTTCTCAAAACGATGTGAAAATTGGTTAGAGTTTTTACATTCCACAAATGCAAACTCTTTACAAGTTTAACATACTATAGTCCATACTTTATATTAATTATGGAATTTAAAACAAATAACCTTATTATGAACAATGAAGTATAATAATTTGATGATATATAAGTTTTAATAAAAAAGTTTTATAATTTTGCTAATTATGATAGTTCGAAATAGGAATAAGTATAAATCAATTTATCAATTTCATCTTTTGAATTTCAATTTAGGAGTGTTGCCTTCCTGTTCCATTCCTAGAAATGAGGAATGGACAGTAATCTCGCATAAGAAAATGAAAACATATGTATGCATTACTGTTGAGTCCTAAAGTAGGCGATTTATAAATATCCTAAACTTTCACAATTTTTGATAAATTTCAATTTTTTGTCAAAATAATTTCGACTCGAAAGTAGTATGCACGACTCAATATGTTCAAAGAATACCAGAAAACGTAACATGAGTTGCGTTCTCGTTCCGTTCCGAAGGAACGAGAACGCATCATCCGTAATTTCAATGTTAATCAATTACTATTTTTATCCGTGTTTATATCTTAAGCATCTTATATTAATATATAGATGTATTTATCCACTGTGCGTGTGTGTGTAGCGATTGTCGAAGATCCACACTCACACCCACACTCTCAAGATGGTTTTATCAGTGAAATTCATCGAACTGCAACATTAGAATATAATGAAATTGATGATTATAAAAATTCTATTAAAAAAACTCCTAAAATGTGGCTTGTATTTTCATCAGCAAGTAAAAAGCGTGATGTAGCAACAATATATGACAGAAATACTCTTTTTATCATTACTATACCATCACAATCACAACATTTAGACATATCAAGTATATCAAAATTTTCCGCGAAAGAAGAAGTATTATTAGGACCATCAACAAGTTTTCAGGTTGAAAATGTTTAACATGATAAAGTTGATGAGAAATATTTTATTTATCTTAAAGTTTCATGGTAACTAAGACTTCTAAAATATTTCATTTAATAGTGATGTAAATTCAATTCCGTTTTTTTCCTCAAACTTTCATGTGAAATAATAATATAGAATAGAAAATCATTTTAAATGTGAAAAAATTTCTTTATAAATCATATTTCTTTCAAGATTGAGTATTATTGTTAGTTATTAATAGAATTGAATCTGATACAAATTTGAATCAAAATGTGTTATAACTTTTTTATAGGAAGATTATTACATGAACAGCACAGAGAAAATAAATATGAATATTGTTGATATAAATCAATCTTATTAAATGATATCACTATGACTAACTGTTGTTGTTTTTACTGTTGTATAGAAAAAAGAAGAATAAAGTCAATATATCAGAAGTAATGTAAGAAGCGTATTAAATATAATTTATCATTAAAGTATCGCTTTTTAGACAGTTGATATTAATAGATTTTTCTATTTAAACAGACTTTTTTCGTTTTTCGATCGAAATTATGAGTGAAAGACTAACCGTATTCTTCGGTAAATGAATTGTATTAACTCCATATATCCTCACTTGTAGTCTATACGATTTAAAATTTAAAAGCAGTATTTTATTTTAAATAATAAAATATGCATTGATAGGCAAACAAAATCTAAATGATTAGAAATCAGTATATTTGCTTGAGTAGTCAGGGTGTGGGTGTGGGTAGGTGAGGGTGTGGATAGGATATAAATATGATACCGACACCCAAACCCTCAAGATACGAAGATGCTTTGAATCATTACATCTAGATGTGACTGTCGGTAACTTTGGATATTATATTTGTCACTCAATATTCTCCACACTATGAAAAGTTATTTATGTTCTTTTAATCATTTTTTCTCACTGGAGAAAAACAAAATATCATATATATTTCTTATTTTGTGATTGAATATTTATGTAGAGAAAGTGAACATAAAGAAAACAACAGTTATATCAATTGTCAAGTTTTGCACAACAACATGAAACCTTGAAATTCTCTGTTGTCTCTTTGAATAAATATGAGAATGACAATATGATAGAGAGATATATTTCTCTTATCTTGATGTTAATTTATCGTCATTCTCATCTCTTTTAATACATCATCAAAATATTTTATACACACATCTTAATCTATTAATGAAGTATTTTATCGATGAAATATCTTTTTAACAATAATTTCATAATTAATAATATAGTTGTCACAACTTAATTGTATAGTCTTGCAAATGCATAAATGAAAAATAATAAAATATTTTGTTCAAATATATTCTCCTCTCTCAGGAAACTTTACATTTCCTTCAAAAAGTGCTGATTTTCAATGTTTTTTTTCTATAAAAATAAGCATATTAACTGTTATTTGAACTAATCTACGTCATATGTTACCTCGCAGAGTTTGATATTTACAACAGATATAACATTTTTATTCAAAAATGATCTGAAAAAAAGAAAGTGATGGTATTGTTTTCAACAACATTTGATATTTTGCCATAAATATTTTACGTATAAAGACGATGATATGCAGTGAGCATCAGAATCATTCACTCATTATTATCTTTATTTTAAATGAAATAAATACATAAAAATAAAGTGAAAGATATATCATTTGAGAATCCATTTCTTGATACTTAATAATTTAGAGAATGTTGAACATAGTTGATGATTCTACTAAATATAATGAGAAGAATTTCATTTGTTTTCTAATGATTAATATTTTTATGTTATTATTGATCATTTGATGAAAAATGTTGCAAATAATTTGTAAAATTGATTCATTTTTCTGTTGATATCTACATAATAAAACATATTCTTTTGTATCTTTACATTAGTTGTCATTCATAAATCCTTATCTCTTATTGAATGGAATAAAAACAAGTTATTTCTTTTTAGTTATATTCTCCAATCATTAACTATGAGAATTGACTTGAGTCATAGAAAAACTCTTCTATATTTTACTCAAAACTGAACAAGAGAAAAACAAAAAGTTTATTTCCTCTCTCCATTCGCCTACCTAATGACGTCAATGACAATTCTCTTTTTTGTTGAAATATTTGCAGTAAATACAACATTTGAATTTCACAATTAATAAAAACAATAAATCTGTTTCCTTTTTCAAAACTAATATGAAATATCAGGGATTATTTGTTCTAAATATAAAAATGTTCATGATATTGAAATGTTTGTAGGAAGGATGTGAAAACAAAGTGTTTCAAACAAAACTTAATGTTATTCTTATTAATAATACATCGAAAATCATACCTTTATGAAGGAAATACAATGCTTTCTGAAGAATAAAATATATGGACATTATCTGTTATCTAAAATATATCGCACAATTGTTTTCATTCTTATTTCACACATTAGATGAATGATAAGAAAAGTGCGATTGTTCATTTTCAGGATAAATCTTCACCAAATGCTATTCATCAATGTGAATATCATCGAAACACATCAAATCTATGAGAAATGAATGTATATACAAAAAAATTAGAATTCAACAAAATCAACTGAAGTCATAATTTTATTATCGTTTAAAATTATTCATCATGATGAATAATTATGATTAAATTAACATAGTTGTAAGTGAAAATAGTATATCAATCATTTCTTTTGTTTTGTATTGGTATGAACAAGAAAATGAAGAAGATATCATACCGAGACTGATATTGTGAGCAAATAATTGTAAAATGTTAAATACTTTCTTAAAAACAACAACATTTCCTAATATTCAGTAAGAAGTCAGTTGACAAAGTTAATTCTTTTTATTATGATGTGAACAATTAAAATATTGAAGAACAGTTAGTTTATTTTATGAAACTAAAATAAATATTTAGAGATTCAGTTCTGTAAAAACAAAACTGTAAATCTAAAAATAAATTGAATGTTATGCAGATTAATTTTTTTCCTTAATTATCTGAACTTCTATTTATTCCACTGAAAAACTCAATATATTTTATCAAATAAAATATTTGTAATGAGAAAATAATTTATGTAAATTATTACATCTGAATCAAATTATAAAAGTATTTTATAAACTGATTTTTTTATCGAGATAAATCCAAAACAATGTTAAAACGTATTTGTCCTAACAAAAGGTTTCTTATGTAATTCTCAATTGTTTAAATTTTATTTCGAAATATTGAATTTACAAGAAAAATAAAATAATCAACGACACGAGTATATTATCAGTAGTTTTCTTGATAATCAATTGAAAATTATAGTGTTTTTGATTATGTGTGATTTGGTAGCTCATGTTTTTTCTACGACTATTCGATAACACACAACCAACTCGAACATGTGAATGTATGTGTGTGAGTTCTCGTTCCATTGGCACTTACGGTGACATCCGTTTTATAAGATTCTATCAAGTTCACTATATATATGTTCATTGTCACTGATCGAAAATTTCAGATTATAAGTTTCAAGAAATGATAAATAGATATACATCCTTCTCATGTAATGAGAGGTGATCAGTTACCTCCAGTATAGTCATATCTCTTCCTCTTTGAATCTATGATACCATGCGAGGTAAACAAAAACTAGAGTATGTGATTGCAGCAATCAATATCATAATTTGCAAGGAAGAATAAAATCTGAATTCCATAAACGAACACCATAACCACTCAAACTTCTCCGGCAAATCGCCCAGACCAAAAATAGATCCAAATCCCAGAATATTTGATGAATGTGGAGTATGGGGACTAGAGGACTAAGGCAATAGTGTCAAACTTTAAAGTTGAATCCAACTATCCATTCAACTATACAACTATTTCAACTATTCAAGTTTCAATTATTCCACTGTGTACACATAGATGCCGATGAATTGCGGCTCTTCGGGAGCGAGAGGGAAGGGGATGGCACTATACGCCGCCACGTTGATATAAAAGATGTGTTTTCCGAGGGTATCAGATCTTCGCCTGTATTAGTCAAATCGTAGAAATTAATATTTCTTTCCTTACCATTGATTAATAGATGAATGATACTTCTAAGAAAATTGCATTTCCTTCTTTTTACAGTAACTGGAATAATTGAATAGTTCGATTTACATTTCAAGTTTAACACTACAGTTTTTTTCTAAATTCAGTTTGAAATTAAATAGACCATTGTATACCAGAGTCTATCTTTGTACTAGCTTGATTGAAATGAACGTTTTTGGCAATTTAAAGCATAATTTTTCAGTACTAGTTGAACAGGAAGATCATGGTATGATGTACTAATATCGTTGGGAATAGATTTTCTTCCAAAACTTTCATTCAAAGAAAAAGATGTTGACAGAGAAGATGATGATGTATCAGATATAATATCAGACGTGATTTGATCATCAAAATGCAACGATGAAGTCGGAAGTGGATTTTGAGATTCGGATGTTGACGTTGAAGATGTATTAATAATATTTGTTTCTGTTTTTTGATCATCACTACGTGATTTTTTGTAAGAAGCAGGAAAAAAGGATTCTATTGATCTACATTTATCTCGAATAATTTCCAGAGATTTTTGCTTTATTACAAAAAAAGTATGCATTTGTGCTGAATTCTTTGAATAACCAATGAAAAATCTAATCAAAACCTCTAGAAGAATGGAATCGATAAGTTACGACATCATTTCCAGAGAAAGTTATGAATTCATAATTTTTTTAATCTAAGGAGCTCAAATCATTCCTGAAGGAGCTCAGCCCTCATCAGTCTACCATTGGCACCGCCACTACCCTCACCCACATCCACAGTAACCCATAATGGTTCGCACTTAGTACACTTAGTGGAGCAAATATATTTCAGAAAAAAACGAATGCGTCACTAACTTCACTTATTTAGATTTAGAACTGTTTTATTTCTTGTTTAATATTTATTTTTCAACAAAATATGATATTATAGAATGACAATAATGGTAGAAGGTATAAGCGACATGTTTTTTGGTTTACGAAACATAAGCGAAGAAAAGAATAATGAAAATTTATAGACATCGATAATATAATGAGAAAAGCTCTTGGATCTCAACAAATCCATCATGAAACATATATAATCAATCAAAAAAAAAACAAAGTATGTAAGTACTATATTTATTGTCAGCTCTCAGTTACCGTGATAGCCACATATTAATAGTGATCGACATCCATACCCACACATCTTCAGTAATGTAGAAATCTTTGCACTCGATGGTTACTGCTATCTGCCACATATAAATTGAATTGACTATCTAGTGTTACTCCATAGGGTCTATTTAATTGAGTAGCACTTGTGCCAGACGAACCAGTAATACCCGCTATTGTGGTAGCACTAGATTGACCAGCCAAAAAAAATTGAATACGATGATTTTCTGTATCAGCTACATATATATTTTCATATTGATCTACTGCTACACAAACTGGACCTTTTAAAAGTGTCGGCGAAGATCCGCTTACTCCACTACTGCCAGCAAGAAGTGTCCAACTAGTATCACCTATCACCCAACGAACTATAGTATGAGCAGCACCGTTGGCAATTATTAAACTATTCGTCGATGAATCCAGAGCAAATCCGTATGGTTTCCATAACTGAGTGCTGCCAGTCCCGTAACCATTTCCACCAGCCACTACAGTGCCTGATGAACTACCGTTAAGATATTGCATGATACGATGGTTTTCTACATCACTGATGTACAGGGTGCCCGAGCTCGAATCACGTTGAATTATATTAGGATTATGAAACTGATTGTTTGCACTTCCAAGGAAACCTAAAGACAATCCGAATATATTGATGTTTTATGAAAAAATTCTGGGACTCTTCCATTTTGTTTCTATTTTATTTTGATAATAACATCTAGTTCGAAAATAGGATTACATTGTTTAAATACTTTATTTATTTTTGTTTATATTGCTCAAAAACAATTTCAAACAGCAAGGCTGATAAAAATATATACTAAATAAAAGCTGGTAAAAATGGGATTTCATTCGATATAAAACTCATCAGTCTTGTTATTTGAAATTATAGGAATACAACCGTGAAAGAATATTGCCTTAAATGCTGAATTGAATTACTACTAATCTACTTATCGGCACATGTATAACAAGTGAATCTGTTCACTTTTCTGACCTGAATATTAAATTTTAAATACAAACACATGTTTTCTCCGCCGTGTTCATTTTGCAGGACAATTAATAAGAAAGTTAAAGCATTTGAAGAGCTTCTTGAACTATTTTTTATAATAATAGTAACAGTGGTCGATGAAGATCCAAGCTTTAAAATAATTATTTTATGATACACTTTTCAGAAATAAGCATATCATGTTCTGAGTATAAGTGAGAATAAACATTTCTCATTTCTCTTACCTGTTCCAGCGATCATCGAACCAGATGATGCACCATGTACCCAGTACATAACTCGGTGATTGGCTTTATCTACGATGTACATGTTGTTACTTGAGTCAATTGTAAGACCGATTGGTTGACTAAGAGTAGTAGACGAAACACCTGATGTTCCATCTGCCTGACCGGCAACGGTCACACCAACTGAGCTACCTATGATCCATTTTTGTATCCGATGGTTACCCCAGTCAGAGACATAGAGAGCATTTGATGAATCAAATATCAAAACATAAGGTTCCTTGAATTGACTTGCACCTTCTCCTTCTGCACCGCTCGCATTGCCAGCCACAGTCGCGCCATTAGAGTTCCACCCTGCTGTAAAACCTGTGACTATGAAAAAAAGAATTTAACATAGATAAACATGAAATCTTTGGTCTTAATTTTACAATATTATCAAAAAGTAATTAGAAGAATAAATCCACGTCGTCAAAAAAGAAGATATCCAATTACAATGTAGGGTTATATAGATTGTTACCTTCTCCAGAGAAGAGTTATCTATGATAAAGCAGGTATCTAAACTTACACATGTCATATAGACTTTTTCATTTTATCTTACCGAATATGATCTACTTTCATAATTTAATGCATCATATGCATGAAATAAAAGCTACTCTGAATAAGAGAATGAAGAATCATTTAATGCATAGTAATGCAGAGAACAAAATTGAGAAGTGAATAAAAATACTCAAACTAATAACTGTCGATTTTTGTGATTATCTTAGTACTATACCCAGCTGGAATATATAACTTCTACTCCACGTCCCACCTCACCTTTCATTTCTGTTCTCGTCTCTCACTCGGCCTATTTCTTCCAAGACGCTCTCATCTAATAATGTACTTTATTTAACTACAACACACAGCATAAAATAAACGGGCCTCGCTGTATCTTGGTAATGTTTCTTCCAATACTTATTTGCTCAGAGAATCTGTTTCTTTTTCGAAAAGATTCGTATATTCATACACTACAAAACACCACATTTTGTCTTATTATCGATAGTGTTGTTTATTGCTAAAGGTGCATTTGAAATAAGTTTTTGACGGGTGATTTTTCTAATTGCATGCCTCAACAATTTAATGCAAGTATCTATCAGAGTATTATCTTCTCCAGGGATGAGAATCGGTAAGAGTTTTCAAAAAGAAATAATTTACTAGATATAAATGTGATCCATACAATAGTCGATGTTTTTTGTTATCAAAGAAGTGAAATATGTCTTCGCATCATTCTTCTATACCCTAATTCACTAAGAAGCTTTTTATTATTTCACTAAAATGTAAGTTTGAGACCTACAACTACTCTCATGTAAGGAACATTAAATCAAGCACAACAGATATAAATTCTTCTTTCAATGGAATCGCAATACAAGAATAAAATCTTCGAAAAAATTAAATATTGCAACAACATAATGTAAAGCTTGTCATCTATTAGTTAACATAATAATAATATCAAGACACATTTGATTCTTTCATTGGCAAGAAATGTGAGCTATTGGTTAGGTCGCGTTTAAATCTATTCAACTATTTATTTTCTAGAAAATATTCCTAATTATTACCATTGAAAAAGATGACATTTTGAAACACGCCTAAATTATATTGTTGGGAGAAGCAATGCGAACTAGACATGCATCAAATCCAAACCGTTTGAGTTTTTTGGATTTGGGTATGAGTTTCGATTTTACATTGGGCTGTGACCCCTAAGCATCGAAACGTTTGATATCTGACACACATTCAAACTCAAACTCACAAAAACCAAAACGATTTGGATTCGATTCATGTCTAGCTTCAATATTTGATCCAAACCTAAACTTTCAACAGTTTAGGTTTGAGCTTGGTGTATGATTATACTTGACAGTCAGAATGAAAAGTTTTCGATATAGTTAATAAAAATCATCATCGTCCAGAAAATTACAAAACAGCTTGCATATTACTCACTCGATGATGCAGCTATCGTTGTGAACGTGGTTTTTGTTGTTAATGATGTTGCCGTTGGCGCTGTTGTTGACGTTGCTGTTGATGTTGTTGTTAATGTTGCTGTTGTTGTTGTTGTCGATGTTGATGTTGTTGTTGTTGATGTTGTTGTTGTTGATGTTGTAGTTGGTTCTAGATTACAGAAATGAGTTTAGAATGAGACAAAACCATTGGATAAGGTTTTATTCTTAATTTCTTTCGTCGTCTTTTTCTTTTTCTCTAACAATATATCGACCATAAATATGAGTGCATTATAATAGAATGGCAAATCGTTATATGCTTTACATTATAATTGTAATTCTATGATCTTTACTTTAATTACATATCTAGTATAAGAATTTTGACAAATAAATTTACATCTCTTGTAGCTTTAGAAATGAATGTCTATTATTTGCAAATCCCTACATGGTGTTCTCATTTGGAGACAACTAAACCATAGTAGTCAATTTTGGTGATCAAATAGAGACTTTTTTCTAAATATAAGATATGGGACACATATCAAAACCGAAGAGCATCCCAGTATCTGTACTATTCTCTACAAATGTGTCGTATTGTCCTTAACTGAAGCTCTGTTATTCTCAAATAGTTTACTTCTATGCCAAATCTGATGACGAAATCCATAAAATACAGCTTTTATTTTAATGTAATGCATGGTAATATCAAATCTAGTGACTAGAACACAGCTAGTCATACTAATCTTTCCCCCACGAGATTTAGTTTTAATGGCAAAAGATTTTAGTGCGGCAGAGGATAATGTTGAATTTTGATTAGAGCCCGAAAACGACTGGTACGCTTCAAATCTAAACCATGCTGCATTTCTCGATGGACATTGGCACTAAATTCTCTAAAAAGGAGATATTATGAAAAGAACACTATATCTTGAGGATATGAATGAGCTGGAATGTGAGTTGGAGCGTGTTAGTGTGAATGCATATGGGTGTAGCTTTGCGTGTAGATACGAGATCGAATGTTCAAGTATATGGGTATGTGAATATATTATATTTGCTTTTGAGCAATATCCATCGACAGCCTCAACAATCTCAACTTTATCGAGATGCATATTTGATTCTAAGTTACTCATCTCATTACACCAAAAACATTCAAAAATTCTAATTTTATTGTAATGGATATTTGCCCACAGAGAAGAGATCGAGGTATGGTATTGGTTTTATAAATCTAGATACACTATCTTAGAAAATTGAGGTATCTCTCGATGATTACTATCAAAATATCCGAATTTTGGTGTGAAAACGTTTCTATAAATGAAAATATGTTTCGGATCTGAGAAATCTTATGGGCCGAGCTGGCGTAAGAATAATTGAACGTTTTTGAACTAAATTGAGCCACGAAACAGTAGCGAACGCATAGTAAATTCGTTTTTTAGAAGATTCAAAACTGGTCACATCTAAAGTGAAAGAGAGCGCAATGAATACTATTAACATAGCAATGCCTAGTGCTAATTCTCATAAATAGAGAGGCACATTTTATTATACATACAACTACTCTAATGTTACTGCATTACAAAACCTGTATATAAATAATCCCTATTGTTTATATTTTAATCGAAAAATGACATGCATTTTAATATATACGCTGTATATGGTTTGATTTCCGGTTGAATCAATTCAAGTCAAGAAGAATATATATCTATATATGAATTTATATATAATATATGATTTCATTTGAAATATGGATAGTGTGAATGTGGATGAACGGCTCTCGAGGGTGGATGTGAATGCTGGTGGTTGTCTTGTCTTCACACACACTCTCACTCACCCACACCCTTGAGAAACTTTTTATATATACATATAGATATATATTTTTACTTGACTTAACACTCCTCGACTCGACCCAATCCAAGCTTAGACTTCAGCTTCATTTCTATATTTCTTTTAATTAGAAGAGATTTCTGTGATCAACCCTAAAAGTATTTAATTAGATTTCCAGTAAATCTCTCATATAGTCACTTGATTAAAATTTTCGGGACTGTCGAAAATTACCATCGCATGAATATCCTAGGTGATAGACCTTATTGTCCTCTATCAATAGCAGAAATATTACAATGATTGCCTGTTGCCGCATTAAATGCGAAAGATCAATATTTTGGTAGGAAAACAAAGAAAAACGAACAAGATCCATTTCGTTAATGATATTTCTAAGGTCCTTATAGATTGGCTAAAGCTTCTGGAAGGATTCATACGTATGTAAAACTTACTTTTCTTCAAGGATATTACGTGAAATCACCGGAAAATCGAAACAGATTGGTATTAGCAAATATCGAAAATTCCTCTCGTGTTGTGTCTATTTGTATAAAAAGAAGTGATCCAATCGATCTGAAAATTTCAGCTGGTACCAACGTCACAACTATTTATAATATAGAAAAAAAACAGCGAACCCAGAGATGTCGAACTATCACTGGTATCTGATCTTCTCAGACAATTAATCTTTATAAATATACTTCTACATGCTAAAAAAATTTCGTTATAGATCCCACAAAAGCTTTCGTTTTTGTTGCTTAAAAGTAGGATGTATAAGTTGTTGTGATAAACAACAAAGTTCTACATTCTGTTCTCTTATGTCGTCATCCCAATAGTATATCTGACGTGAACTCAATGGTGGATTTTACAATAATTTATCTCTTATGAAATATTCTAAATTAGAAAATAGTTTTTTGTATAGATATTCCTTTTCTTAATGTTTGCATCGTTTCTGTCGTACCCGTTTTTGTCGTGATTATTATTTCGGTTGTTGTTTCTTTTGTTGTTGTCTTTGCATTGTTTGTCTTTGTTCTTTTGAGGATAACTATGGAAATCATTGTTATTATAATAAGTGCAATAATAATAAATATGATCCATATCACTTTTCTTTTTTTCAGATATTCACATCTAGAATAAGAAATCTTTTTTATCATTGTCTACAATTCATAAGATACATACAATGTTTCTGTTTGAGTCGCATTCGAAGTAACTGTTTCAGACTAAAATAATAGAAAAAAAATTACCGTTTTATAGATTTACTTTTTCTCAATAAATTACATCACTAGCAGCAACTCCTACTCTGCTGCTCATTGTTGATATCTTGTTGAACATTTAATACTTTTAAAATCTAAAATCGACAAAAACATTTTCTCCATTAATAGATTTTCAATCATTAATAATATAATTACAAAGAAATTAAACTGTTTACTCGCATTTCTTTTCTCAAAGGATCATCTCTGTTTCTCATTAATTGTTGAAATCTATATTTCAAGTAATATCTAATATTCCTTACCGACTAATCATTAAAATAATAGACACGATATTTATCATGCTCTCTCTTTCTCTGTCTTAAATAATCAGTTCTTTTTAGACGTAAATCATCGTGTTAATGTAAAACATTTGCAACAAAATATCATATATCAATAAAAACAATGAGTTCATTTCCTTTTTCAATGTTAGTTTTAAAAAAAAACAACCCTTGTCAGATAGAGTTTTTATCTCTTATAAATTTGAAATTATTTGAGACAATATTTAGTGTAATTATTAGTTGATAAAACATTGAAAAATCAGTGCTGTTCAAAAGATATGCAACATTTCCTCACAGAGAAAAAAAGCTGATGTTAAAATGTTCTACTATACACAAAAAAATTTTCGAAAATAATTGAGAATTAGACAATAATTATAGTTAAAAATGGGTTTTCATTTGATTTTATCATATGCAATGATTATCTTAACATCGTTTCTTCACTTCAAAAAGAGATCGATCTTCATTGTATGATTTGTTATTCTTTGATTTTTTAGTTGGAAGTCGATAAAGAACATTGAAGAAAACTATAATCACGATAGTAATTACAATCATAGTCATATGAAATACGTAGATTCATTGAATAATTACATTTAGATGTGACTGGCGGTGATTGTGGATATTATACTTATCTTTCAATACTCTCCATACTATGAAAAGTTATTTATGTTTTTTTAATCATTTTTCTCACTGTAGAAACAAAACTTCAGACTGATTTGTTAGTTTGTGATTGAATATTTATGTAGCGAAAGCGAACATAAAAGAAATAGCAGTTATACCCATACTGAATTATTTTATCGACGCAATATCTTTTCAACAATAATTTCATAACTAACAACGTAGTTACAGCTTAACACTATAGACTCTGAAATGAATGAAATAAAATAAAATATTTTGTTCAAATACATTCTTTTTTTCTCTCAGGAAACTTTACATTTCCTTCAAAAAGTGCTGATTTTCAATGTTTCTTTTGTATGGAAAAATAATGATATTAACTATTATTTGAACTAATTTACGTCATATACTACCTCGTAGAGTTTGATATTTACAACAGGTATAACATTTTTATTCAAAAATGATTTGGAAGAAGAAGGTAATAGTATTGTTTTCAACAACATATGATGTTTTGTCATAAATATTTTACATATAAAGACAATGATATACAGTGAACATCAGAATCATTCATTTATTATTACCTTTATTTTAAATAAAACAAATACATAAAAATAAAGTGAAAGATATATCATTTGAGAATCCATTTCTTGATACTTAATAATTTAAAGAATGTCAGACATAGTTGACGATTCTATTAAGAAAATCTGATTTGTTTTATTCTAAAGAAATATTTTCTATTTTATTACTGATCACTTAATGAAAAATGTTGCAAATAATTTGTAAAATTGATTCATTTTTTTGTTAATATCTATATAATAAAGCAGATTTTTCTGCGTCTTTTCGTTAATTGTTATTGATATTTGTCTTTTGTTGAATGGAATAAAAATAAAATGTTCCTTTTTAGTGACATTCTCCAATCATTAACTATAGAATTGACTTGAGTCATACAAAAACTCTTCTATATTTTATTGAAAACTGAACATTAGGAAAACAAAAAGTTTATTTTCTCTCTCTCTCTATTCGCCTACCTAATGACGTCAATAGGAATTTGCTTTCTTTTTTGAAATATTTGCAGCAAATACAACATTTGAATTTATTAATAAAGAAAAATAATGAATCCGTTTCCTTTTTCAAAACTAATATGAAATATCAGGGATTATTTTTTGTAGATATAAAAATGTTCATGATATTGAAATGTTTGTAGGAAGGATGTGAAAACAAAGTGTTTCAAACAAAATTTAATGTTATTCTTATTAATAATACATCGAAAATCATACCTTTATGAAGGAAATACAATGCTTTCTGAAGAATAAAATATATGGACATTATCTGTTATCTAAAATATATTGCACAATTAATTTTATTCTTATTTCACACATTAGATAAATGATAAGAAAAGTGTGATTGTTCATCTTCAGAATAAATCTTCTTCACATACTATTCAACATTATGAATATATAAAATAAAGTACAGTACAAAATGTATTTCGATAAATATGATTATCAATGTGCCAGATGAAGTGTTTTACAGTTTTTTGATCATTGACGATGATATATTTTTGTGAATCTTTGCTATGATTGACTAATTGTAGTAGTTATTTTCGAAGTTTTCTTGAGTTGTCTTCATCATTCTGGTCAATATGATAGACGAAAAGATCGAAATTTGATGAAGATCGGTCACCTAAGAATTTTTTGTATTTATTTTTAATCAATATCTTTTGCATCGTATCGATGTTGATTGCCCACGATTACATTTACATGCATTGCTGGTGTATTCGGAAAAATATTTGTATAAACGTAATGCATCTTGAGGATGAGTGTGCATTCTAATAAAATAGAAAATCCACACTCACGCATACACTCTAGAAAATCATTTTGCTCGAAGAACTATTAACATAATTATTTAAATAATGAATATTACAGATATATTTGTTAATGAATACGTATCGAAGAACTTATTATATTATTATTATTCAAATAAATCGAAATCATATTAAATCTTTATATTATGAATCACCAATATAAAAGGATGATCTATGATGGAAAATGATTATTTATGAAATTTTCTAAATATATAAATTAACAACATCTCATATTATTTGAATTATCGATATATAATTACAATATTTAATATCATTATTAATTGTTGATTTTAAGAAAATAGTCTTATTTTGAAAAAATTCATTTATAAAATAAATATTTGAATATTATTTACAATGATTTCCTATTAATATTCGATGAAAAAATAAATAAACATACTTTAGAAAATAATCATATAACATTTATTCTAAATAACATCATATATTTTGACTAATAGGTCAATATGTTTCGAATTATTCATCTTCATATTATCTACCTCTAGAAATAGAAATTCAATATGAAATTCTGAGGCTGTGAGTGGGGTATGAGTGCATTTTCTCTTAGTCTTCATCCACACTCACATACATCCACCCACAAGATAAATGAGGATAATATTATTGTTTGTTTTCTTATCTTTACAGCGTACAAGTAATTATGTCGTTATTTTAGTGTTCTCCAGTGGAGAGTCTCCACTAATCCATAATGCGCATCTTGCATATGAGTAATACAACTCGGAGTATTAACGAACCGTGTGTGAATAAAAGACGATGATAGCGCATATTCTTTTGATCAGTTAAAAAGGTGCATAGATAAATAGATATACAATATACTCATATTCAGAGAAGGTATGTAAAATTAGCGATATTTAAACGTCAATATGGTCACATTTTTGAAACAACAATCGATATTTTTTTGTGTTAGCTTGTGAGTTTCCGTCGAAATAGTAAAAGTAATCGTTCTCAAAATGAATTATTTTTAAATGTATCTAGAGAATAATCAAAATAACATTCACATTATACTTTCTGATAAATGTAGAACTATACAAAGACATATTGTAAAAGAATTCGAATTTTGCATAATTTCTTTCAACATTGTTCCGTATGCAATAATATTTCGTTGGATGCATGAGTTCGCGAAAAAAAACAGACTTTAAATAATCTAACATCCATATAAAATTCTGTTCTCTGAATAAAAGCTGCTTTTGTCAAAGTTTGTAAAAATATACAAACAATTTTTTCCTATAAATCACCATTTTGTTGTGAGAGAATGGGATCTAAATTTATACACACACTAATCAAAGTGTTCAAGAGCATAGATACATTTTTGTTTCATTTTTTAGAAGATAATAAATGGGCGAAAAATTTATCGCATGCTTTCGACGACCACCACCAATAGCAGTAGAACAGAAATTATCAGAGCAAGTGCCTTCACTACCGTAACTATCGTATGTGGAACAACAGGACTCCATTTTCGGTTCTTCGCTGTGTGATATGCCAACCGAATTACTTCTTTACAACATCTTTCCATACCTAACATTCATGGATCTCTGTCATCTCTCTCAAGTTAACAGACTTTTTCACAACCTCCTTGAATCAACAGATCATGATAATAAGGAGCTTTCAGCACATTTATGGGCAAAATGTATCAAGTCTGAAATGCTAGGTAAGAGTACAACAACTATTCGAGCTTGAAAATCCATAGAGTCGACCAGAGATGATTAAAATGTGGAAGAGATATTTACGTTTTTTGATAAACATTACTATGGAGTGTCTTCCATTCCCAAAACGACAGAAAGTGAAGACTTCATAGTTTATATTATTTATCTCTGCAGAGAGTTATATCAACAAAGACATTACTGTGATATATATCAGATCTCGTACAAACAATGGAGTTACCGAAAACCATCTGGAATGCCATGAAACGGCAACGATTCATATTTTTGAAAGTAGGTGTAATGCGGCACTGCATATAGTAAAATAACTCCAAATTGCTACTTAGATGAACGTTTTTGTGAAATCAAAGAGAAAATCTTTCATGCCTTCGGTGGCAACCAATTACATCCGGAACTGTTGCCTAATAATCAAGAGCTGGGTGTACAAGGTCAATCGTCATTGTGGATCGAGAAGAATGATAGACTGTCAAAGTTTCAATATCTAATGAGCGATGAGAAGAAGTTCATTCTGACAGTGCGTCCACATTTGTATCCACCATTTCAAGGAACACCCACCACTGTAGCTTACTATGAAAAGCAATATCGTACTTTATTAGAAGCCGCTGCCAACTACCAGAAAAGTAAGCTAAACTGTTTTTTAGTTTTCAAAATTGACTGTACAATAAAGTATATTATTGGTGATTTTTTCTGTTCTAGATAACAATCAGTCAGCTGCTGATGTGCCTGAGAAGCAGACAGAAATCTTCGAAAGTATGACAGCAAAATTTCAATCCTTATACATGAAACGAAAACGAGAGGTAGATCCGTGGACAAACGTTCTAAGAATGCGATGCGGTGGATGTACTGGCTTCTCAAGAAGTGACTACGATTGGAAACTCTACAGTCGATACATTACAATGTATCCAATAAGTTTTGTCAGAAAAGAGCATAAAAAGGACAAGCTATGTAAGTATTATCACAGTTCAAAAAGAGTCTGTGCTTCACTGTTAACTTCAGACAAAAATTAGTTTTCATTGACGACCAAAACTTTTTCAGTTAAATTTTGCAGGTGTTTACTATGAACACGGTCTGCTGAACTCAGATGCTGTAATGGATAACCACAGTCGCTATATGGCGACAGATCTCGACGGATCTGAGCTCCGGTGAAAACTGGCTCTGCTACTATCAAGGTCTAATCAAATGTCTAAAATGTGAACAGAAACTTTTCCTTACGCCGCCATTGAATGAGCAGCAGCCAAAGCCGTACACATGGTATATTAGCTATTCACAGAAGAGATCGCGTCACAGTGGCGACAGACACGGTCATCGAATAGAATACATTGAAGTGTATTGTCCTGCATGTGAATGGTATTCTCTTTGGAAGTGCAAGGCACAAGCACAGAAATGATTTCCAGCACTGGGTGGTACGCCAGAGACGAGACCAAAATAAAAAATAGATTGAGTTCACGGAAGATTGTTTTAAGACAGAGATAGATTTACACAGAATAAAAGAATCTACTAAAAATATTATGATTGTTCTATAAACTATAGATTATTGTAATTTGCTGAGTATTGTTTGGATGAGAGCTGCTATCATAAGCTAGATTTCACTGTAGTTATCAAGATCATCAAATGGTTTATAGAATAATTCTAACTCGAAAAGTAAAAGTAAATTCTAGATTTAATAATTTTATAATAATCGATGACTGGGTGTGGGTGTGACCGCGGGTGGGTACTGATGTTCAAAGAGAAAAGGCTGAAACTTGCACCCACGCTCACACCCTCACACACACCCACCCTCAAGATGGTAAGAAAAAAGTTTAGTCAATGTTCATGCGAAGAGGTGAATTACGAATAACAAGGTTTCGAGCTACATTTATAAAGGTACGCTTGATACGTTGACGTCGTGAAATATGTGGAAGGAATTTAGCTCTCTTTATCGCATGATTGAGCTCTGAAGTCATTGAAAATAATGTCGCATATGAATCTAAAGACTTATCTATCGTTTCAAAAGTAGGTATGATCACTGGTACAGTTGAACGAGCCATCCGAAATACAGAAGAAAGCGTAGATGAAAATGAAAAGTCTTTATTATCGGCGTTAAAAAAGCTTTGCCCAGCACGATAAATTTTATCCTCACCCTCTGTGTCTAACCGAGTATCAATGTTGTCTACGATGCCTTCTAAAAGGTCCCAATTGCAATTTATATGCCATTCCACACATCGCTGCATAAATAGCCTGGTCGTTTGTTCAGGATTTTCATGAAGTAACGTGTCAATAAGTTCTTCACCCTTACTTGTACTACGTATTATGACGTTCCATACTTGACGCGTTATTTCTGCATCGTATTCAATTGATTCTATTTCGAATGTTGAACTAATATCAAAGAGCACCTCTTCGTCAGCTTGTATCGCTGATATGTCGTGAACGTCAGCAAAAATCATCTGTTTCTTCTTTTGATGAAGTTGATGTCGATTATCAACATTAATATGATAGAGAACAGAAACACAATCACCTGTTTGTTGATAAGTTCCTGTACTAGCATACATATCAGCCACCCCAAGTTGAGTAGTAGTTGATAAAAAAGAGTTATAAGCTAAAAACATGCCAGGTTTCATCTTGCCTAATTCTGTATACGGCATAGTCACACCACGGTACAAAAGATATTCTTTTTCTTGTGTCTTCTTATGAAGTCTAGCTAATGACCTTGAAATATCACTAATTAAATAACGAAATATAAATAAAACACGTATGTTATTTGTGCGAAGAGCTTTGTTGCAAAATCGATAAACAAAAGAATCTTTTGTGTACCAGTTGATGGCTTTGTTGGTTTCATTGTCTTCCTCATATTCCTGAATTTGTCGTAGTTGAGCCTTATTGTTTTCACAACATAAACGACAAAAATCGAGCATCTTTCGACGGCCATACTTCGATTTAACCGGTTTTTCAATGAACACTCTCTTGAACAATTGCAAACAAACAAAGTCGCCAGCTGCTTCGACGTCTGATACTGTCAAATAATATGAATAATATTGATCAAGAGCCAATAAGGTATAGTTTGCTCCCATTCTTTGTATTTAATAACTACTCCGACGGTATTTTGGAGTATCGTTTAAATAGGGTGCATTAGAATCACTAATCCAACGAATGAGTAAGAGAAAATGAAATTTGGTTTCTACCAAGCAGACAGTCACGCTCGAATGGGTTTCTTTTTCTTTGTAATTAAACATAAGAAAAAAAGGTATTTCATATGACAAGAGTAAATACGATTTGTAACGCAAAATATTGCCAAAAGGTAAATGCCAACAGAGAAAGCGATTTCCTCGTTGCAGATAATCCCAAACAACGACCAAGTTCTAGACGTATTAGACCTAACATCAACTAGCCTAAGTGAAAAAACAAACGACAACTTAAGAAAGAAGAAAAGGCACTCAACAAATACTAAATTCGATCATGAGCAAAATAAAGTTTACACTATAGCGACAACAGCCTTTGCAACTGGTGATCATACAGATCGAACAGTACAATCTGCGCCGAGTGCGATGTCCGAGGATACAGCATCACTCGACATATCTATTCAATCGTCTAGACATTCAACACTGGGATTGGATAACGAACAAGTTGCCTTACCGAATAGTGGAGAGAAGAAAAAGCAAAAAGGAAGAACGTGGTCGCCTCCACTCATTAGACATGCTTTACCAGAGGCAATCAAATCCAGATGTTCCTCTATCACAACTTCGAATTACTCATCTTCACTGATCTCCATATCACGTTCTTCTGGAGAACTGAATAATACGGTTGAACATCCGACCTTCCCGACACCACAAGCTGATGAAGTGCAAATAAATTTTTTCCGCGCATTAATTTGTGTTCCATGTAATCTTGAGGGTGTGGGTGGAGTGAGAGGATGCGCATATGGGTGTATATTTTCTTGGCGTTAATCAACGCCCACAACCACCGTCAAATGTATTTTTTGAATCTTTTGAAAAGGTTTAGTTCAGAACTTTTTCCAGAAAACCTTTTGTTGCAAGGGTTCAGGATTGGTTTTCTACTAAACCTTTTTTTTACTAAATCAGAAAAAAGGAATCTCCGATCCATCGGCGAAATGAATCCTTTTTTTAGAGAGTAGGAAAGCGCTGTGAGAACTTTGGTGATCGTAACTATTACAGGAATTGAATCCATAGCGAACAAACAGATAAACAGACAAACAGATAAATAGACAAACAGACAAACAGATAAACAGATAAACAGATAAACAGACAAACATTCTTCTTTATATATATATATATAGATATAGATATAGATATAGGTAAAATAAAGCTGAAGGTAATCTTTACTTTTAGTTATACATTTAAGATAAAGTAACACTCCTATATTAGAATGAATTTATGATTGCTGATTTTTCTTAAAAATTTTCCTCTCTGTACTATTGATTTTAGAATATATAACGTTGCGATTCTTGTGTTTTAAATAAATTTTCGTTCATCTCATTTTTAGAAACACATACATATTATAATTTAACGACTAGAACAAACAAGCAAATGGCATGGACATACACGGCTTATGTTTTGTGCGATATGGGTATTTCGTTTGGCCTTGGAGTCATGATCTTTATTGTCATATTTCTACTCTTTTATCGTTCAAACGTAGGTAAAAGCTTTGTCGAGCAGCAAATTATAGGTATCGAACCACCTAATATCAATGAAGGGGATGATGGTGGCAAGTACATCAACGAGTACATGGATAATAAGGAGCATCTGAGATATGTTAATTTATTTTTCTGCTTAATTACCGCAAGCGCACTTGCGATTACGGTTGTGTTGATTTTTAAAGAATGTTTCCTAGCAAATACCAAACTTTTTGAGAATGATAATTGTCCTGATTATCCAGCGGATTGTTTTGTTTTTAAATTAATGAATTACACGCCAGCAACGAACACAGTAACCTTCTACTGCGATCCTTTCAATAAAGCTCGGTTTCCTAGTGATGCACCCAATGCTTACGCATGGTGTTTTAGCTGGATCATTCGACTACAAACAACCGAAAAAATTCTAGATCAATTTGGTGTGTGTAGTGGTCTTATTGGTCTATTCACAACATTGTTGGCTATAGTTATTTATTTTCGCAGATACACGTTCACATCCTACTTGTGTGGTATTTTTATTTTAATATGTCTCGTTGGCTTTTTTGGTGTACTAGACTCCGAGTGGTCAATTACAGTGTTAACGTTTGCTGTACTAACTCTAGGTGTGGAAGTGGGAGCTTTCGGAATATTTCTCCACTGCGTCCAACCTGAACGTAAAAAAGAAAAGAATAAGGAACAGATATCTATATTGACTACAAATCAAACAAATCCTTCCTCTAATCGAACTACATTTGAACTGCAACCATCTTCTCTAATAACGACATCATCACTCCATAATAAGACTCCATCAAAAACGGCGACTGTTACCCCTATAGGATAAACTATTTGTTTTAACTTATCATAATTAATCACGCTAAACAGTTATAACTTATGTCAATTAATACCACTTCGTTGCACTAAAAATATCTGTCGTATTATTAACAATTTATTTTTATTCTAAAAGTATAATTTTGTTTGTTTTTTAATATTTGTATAGTTTAGCGACTGAAAATAACACGAGCTGATTTACGAAGGGACTAAAAATTCTTAAAAGAAGTGTGGGTGTGAGTGTGGATGAGGGTGAGCGTGAGTGGGTGGATGTGCGTGTACGTGTGAATGTATTTGGGTGTGGATGGGTGGATGAGAGATGATTACATTATCCACGGACGCATATCCATACCCATCCTTCTTCTTGTTTTTACACGATGGATACTATATTTAGGCGTTATTTAAATTTATCCGCGCTATAATGTTATTAAATGTATGTGTATTACGAGCATCAGTCTGTTCACATTTACGCTATGTATTTTGTTCATTTTGTTTTTATTCATAATTTTCTGGTTAATATGTGAGTCATTCAGTAATGAATATTGCTTGATATCCACTATTCATTTTTACGTTGTAGAGTACGGTATGGATAGTGAATGCCAAGCCGCGTGTCCAATTTAATGATTCACATCAAAAAACATATTGTGAAAAAATTGTCTTTAATTATGCTTTCGCAACAATCATTATCAAATGGTTATTGCCAATAGTTAGTATTCTTATTAACTGCTTTCCGTCACCTACCTAAACATCTAGTACAGATTTCCAGCAACTTGAATATGTATTAAATTTTTTATAAGAGATTTTTTGCCTTAGTAAAAATTATTTGTATCGTGCGAACATTCAAGTTGTCTATTATTTAATAAAGTACCTTCTGTAAATGATTATGTATTCAATTAAAAGCCACTTGAATACAGTTCATCATTGACGCAGAAAGTTAAATCTAACTACGAATCAATCATTGAGTGTGGATGAGTACTTTATTTTATCCATAGCCACTCACCCACACCCTCCCTTAAGATACAATGCATATATATAACATCACTTTTTTGCATTGTCTACTTTTCAAATAAGAACGTGTTCATTATTTAATCTGATTCTATCAAATGTTTTAAAGAAATTATTATAATACATTTATTTTATTATGAGAGAAAAAAAGAGTAGAAAATCTTTGTCTTATCAATTATCATCATATTCATCTTCAATATGTTGTTTTATTGTTGGTGATGAATGAATTTTCTGTATAGCAATGACTTGGATACCATCTTCTGGTGCAACAACCATCATTTCTTTTTGTCGTGTTCGAAGACGAAGTGTTAACAAATTATCTGTTGGATCAATATCACGAATAATCGATCGACTCATATCAGCAAATGAAAGTAATTTTGATGTTATGTGAAATGTAAGATTATTATCGAGTGATGTATACTGAAGTTGTCCTTCTTCATTTGTTAATATAATACCTTCAACATTAGGATGTGCTAATAAACGTTTTAATGTTGCTTCTTCAGTTGGTAATAGATCTATTTTCGAATTATAGATAGAATAAAAATGACATTTTATTCAAAAAAAAAGAAAAAGATTACTTAATGATTTTTCCATTTCTTTCTAACAGTTTTCAATTGCAGTTTGTCGTTAATAAATAAAAGATAAGAATTCTTTTTTTATGTAAGATAAGAAAGAAAAAAAAACTCTTTACTCTTAACCAATACACGCATTCATGTTAGATACAGTTGACAACGTTCAACAAATTGAATATTATTTATTGTATATAAAAAATTCTAACATGGAGAAAAAGAAAGACGTAGTTTTGTTTCCGTTTGTTTTCTTTTTCATAATGAAAACGATAAGAGAAAAAAGAAATGTTTGACATATCTCTATGTACTTTTCATTTGACGTCATATTATTCTTATCTTTTAATAATGCATAAGTATATAAATTTAATCAATTATTTCTTTTTGTTATTATCATTTGTATAAAAGAAAAAAAATGAATTTTTAATAGTTTGATGTTTGTTATGTAGGAAGAGAGAGGACTTTTCTTTTGTCTATTAATACAATATATCCTATATTGATGAATCAATAAAAGAATTTAGCTGAAAACTATTTATAAATGCTTTCATATTTAAGCGAACAATATTATATTTTATTTTAATATATTTCCCCACTTGTAATCGTAAATATGATGTGATAACATACAGAAAAAGAAAACGAAATGGGAAAGGAAGAAATGCTAATGTTTATTTGTATAATTTGTTATATTGTCAATAGAAGATATGAAAGAAAGACCGTTAACCAGTTACATTTTTCCGATTGGTTCACTGTTATCATAATGAGAGAAAATTGAATGATTTTCTTGATCTTGTTGAAATTTGCCAATAATTATGTGTAAAATATGAAAAGCGCAAGCATATTGAAATTGAGAAAGAACCATTTAAGTGATGTGATGAAGAAGAGAAATTAA